CTGTAAATCCTTCTGTCTCTTAGTTCCAGTTTGGAAATTGTCTATTGACCTGTCAAGCTCCTGTTTTTTTTCTGTCTTCTCCACTCTGTAGTTAACACCATGTTTTATTGGAGCTGTTTTTCATTTCTTGCCTTTGCTTCTTTCACAGTTTCCATCTCCCCACAACTCTTACCTTTGCCCACGCATTGTTTTCCATACTTGCAGTTCCTTGCACTCTGCTCTGCGGAGCCTGACATCTCCGTCATCTTTGGGTTGATTTCTCTTGGCCATGGGTTACATTTTGCTGTTTTTTCATGTGTCTGGTCATTTCTTATCGTATACAGGACATTGTGGTTTCTACTCCAGATCTCACCTTCCTCTGAAGAGTGTTTTGCTATAACAGCCTATTAGGTTACTGTCAGGTCACCTGCAGCTGATGGAGTCTAGCTTCAGACTTGGTCAAAGTGATTTATTTCCGTTTATTCTCTGTGCTTTTGCTGTGCCTCCTCTCCCACACCCTCACCCACACCCACACCCACACCCACACCCACACCCACACTCACACCCACACCCACACCCTCACCCACACCCACACCCACACCCACACCCACACCCTCACCCATACTCACACCCACACCCTCACCCATACTCACACCCACACCCACACCCACACCCACACCCACACCCACACTCACACCCACACCCACACCCACACCCACACCCACACCCACACCCTCACCCACACCCACACCCACACCCACACCCTCACCCACACCCACACCCACACTCACACCCACACCCTCACCCACACTCACACCCACACCCACACCCTCACCCACACCCACACCCACACCCACACCACACCCACACCCTCACCCACACCCACACCCACACCCTCACCCACACCCTCACCCACACCCACACCCACACCCACACCCACACTCACACCCACACCCTCACCCATACTCACACCCACACCCTCACCCACACCCACACCCACACTCACACCCACACCCACACCCACACTCACACCCACACCCACACCCTCACCCACACCCACACCCACACCCACACCCACACCCACACCCTCACCCACACCCACACCCACACCCACACCCACACTCACACCCACACCCTCACCCATACTCACACCCACACCCTCACCCACACCCACACCCACACTCACACCCACACCCACACCCACACCCTCCAACTCATCTGAACTATGGCTTCCTTTCGTCATTCGTCTACCTTAGACATACCCTTTCATAATAACAACAACTATGAAATGGTTTTACCACTTTTAACAAAAACAATGAGGGGGGAATGTTAACTTCCGACACAATGTGTAACTACATCTGAATTTTGACACTGAGTACTTTTCAACCTCAAAGGAACCTGACTTTCCATTAAGGGTCGTTCATTATTGATATCCATGAATTTTCCAAGCTTTTCTTGAAACTAACTTTTCTGTTTACACAAGCTGGGGAGACGGTTGGCAGTCAGCCCGCTGTGTCCTCGTCCCTCCTGAAGGACATCTGTCCGGGCACCCTCCTCTCCTGTGGCTGTGTCCTGCACCACCTGGTAGCTTTCCTCCTCCGTGACTATGAACTGATGTGTGCGTTTCTTCCTCACCTGTCAGTAGACCCTGGGTCAGTGCCTTGGGCGTGTAGATTTCCAGACCTGATCTCGTAGCTTGTTGTTCTGGAGTTGGTGAGCGTGTCCCCTGTGGCTGACGGATTGCTCGATGGTGCTCTGCCCAGAGCTTTTCTGTGGCTCCCGAGGGACTGGTCTCACAGATGCTCTTCAGCTCTCACCTCCCAGAGTTCCCAGATGCGCCCGGTAAAGAGAAAGCATAATTCCATGTGAAAATGTCAAGTAATTCCCACTTGTTTTCTTAAAATTTAATAACCTGAAGGATCTCATTTTCCAACTATTCTTTATGTTTTGGACATTTTGTAAAACTCACATTGGAAGCCCACTTGGATGAGTAAGCTGTGGACCAGCCTTGAGCCCCTTTTCAGCCTGGGGCACCTGAGCAGCAGGTGCCCACCCAGGGAGGAGCCCATCAGGGAGGAGCCCACCCAGGGAGGAGCCCATCCAGGGAGGGGCCCACCCAGGGAGGGGCCCATCAGGGAGGAGCCCACCCAGGGAGGGGCCCACCCAGGGAGGAGCCCATCAGGGAGGGACCCACCCAGGGAGGGGCCCACCCAGGGAAGGGCCTATCAGGGAGGAGCCCATCCAGGGAGGGACCCACCCAGGGAGGGGCCCATCAGGGAGGGACCCACCCAGGGAGGAGCCCACCCAGGGAGGGGCCCATCAGGGAGGGACCCACCCAGGGAGGGGCCCACAGTGAGGGAATAGGTTTCCATTTCTTGACTCTTGAAGCAGAGAGAAGTTGTCAGTCTTCCTGGGATGCCCCATGGGACTGACTGGATGGAATCTCGTACCCTGGGTGTAGGTGACGAACCTCTTCAGGATTTTCCCGGTAGAGCAGGCATGTGCCCTGCACCCAACCCGAACACCGATGCCTAGCGCACCCGCCGGCAGAGTTGGCGGCCCTGTGTGGGTGTGCCTGGCCGTGCGGCTCTGGGTGGGTGTGTTAGCACACGCACTTGCCTGTGTGAGCTGTAGTTAAGGAACCCTTGGCCCACAGCAGTGATGGTCGTGAACTGGACGGCGGGCTCCTGCCTCTTGTTGACCCAGAATCTCCTGACCTCAATGATTTTTGGCTCCAGATAGTTTTCTTTGGAATATTTTCTTCATGGACAGAGAAGACAGCAGAAGGGAGAGTCACTGGGGCAGAGGCCCTGGGAAAAGGTGCCCGTCACTCCCTGTCTCCGCTGCTACAAGCGTCCAGCTCCACCCTGAGAGAGCCTGCAGGTTAAGGTGGACACAGCATGGGTTCCGTGGGGTCGTTGACGTCAGTGTGGGGTGCAGTGACAGGTGTTGTTACCCTGAGGGGCAAGTGGCAGCTTTGCTTGAAAACAAGCAACGTAGTGACAGGCCTGAGCCCTTGGGTGAAGCTTGCCCTCGAGCCCCAGCCCCGCTCCTTCCCTCGCAGCAGCGGCCGCCAACTGCTGTGGTGCGTCCCTGGCTCCTTGAGCATCCGAGGACGACTTTCACCTCGTCGGTGCCCTCAGTGCGACCTCGTCAGCTGGGGCAACCTGCACGGTCGTTCCACAGAGAACAACTTAAGACTAACCGGGTTTCGGAAGGCCTGATGGCGGGGGAGGGGGCTTTGGGAGTTTCCCTTTCTGTCCCCCCCATTTAGACACATGCCTGCTGTCCACACAGCAGGGACAAGGCTGTGCGTCACCTCCCGGAGAAAACGCTGTGAGGGCCAAGCTTCTTGCAATCCCCCCGTGGCTCCCTCCATTTCCCAGTTTCCACTCTGCAGCGAAGGGTAGAGGAGCTTCCCACCAGCATCGTCCTCACAGCCTTGTGGGGCCACGGTGTCCGTGTCCGGGGAGGGCGTGCACACCGCTCTCTGATGAAACGTGCTTGAGTGGAACTGTCTCTGTATTTGGGCGTGGACATGGACATGTTCCCTCTCAGATTCCAATTCACACTCAGTGCACCCTGCCCCCTTAAAGATGCGCGGTTTTAATCAAGTTAATAGACTTTATTTTTTCGAGAAGTTTTAGGTTTGCAGAAGAGTTGAACATACAGTACAGAGTATTCTCATGTGGCCCCTCATCCCTACACCCCGTTCCCCCATTAGTGACATCCTGCCTCGTGTCCGCATCGCTGAGAGCTGATGCAGTGTTCCTGACTGGGTCTGGCACACTCACTGTCCCCATCGCTGAGAGCTGATGCAGTGTTCCTGACTGGGTCTGGCACACTCACTGTCCCCATCGCTGAGAGCTGATGCAGTGTTCCTGACTGGGTCTGGCACGCTCACTGTCCCCATCGCTGAGAGCTGATGCAGTGTTCCTGACTGGGTCTGGCACACTCACTGTCCCCATCGCTGAGAGCTGATGCAGTGTTCCTGACTGGGTCTGGCACGCTCACTGTCCCCATCGCTGAGAGCTGATGCAGTGTTCCTGACTGGGTCTGGCACACTCACTGTCCCCATCGCTGAGAGCTGATGCAGTGTTCCTGACTGGGTCTGGCACGCTCACTGTCCACATCGCTGAGAGCTGATGCAGTGTTCCTGACTGGGTCTGCCACGCTCACTGTCCCCATCGCTGAGAGCTGATGCAGTGTTCCTGACTGGGTCTGGCACGCTCACTGTCCCCATCGCTGAGAGCTGATGCAGTGTTCCTGACTGGGTCTGCCACGCTCACTGTCCCCATCGCTGAGAGCTGATGCAGTGTTCCTGACTGGGTCTGGCACGCTCACTGTCCCCATCGCTGAGAGCTGATGCAGTGTTCCTGACTGGGTCTGGCACACTCACTGTCCCCATCGCTGAGAGCTGATGCAGTGTTCCTGACTGGGTCTGGCACGCTCACTGTCCCCATCGCTGAGAGCTGATGCAGTGTTCCTGACTGGGTCTGGCACACTCACTGAGGTACACTGGGTGCATAGTCTAGACTGGCTTTCTGTGCTGTGCGGGTTTGCCCACCATTACAGTGTCATACAGACTCACTGCACTGTCTTAACATTCCCTGTGCTCTGCCTCTGCGTCCCTGGCAACCACTGGGTTTTACTGTCTCTGTGGTTTCGCCTTTTCCAGAATCTTCTGTGGTTGGAAGCATCCAGGATGCAGCCTTTTCAGAGCGGCTGCTTTCACTTTGCCATACGCATGTAAGGTCCGCCAGGCCATGTCTTTGTCGCTGAGTAATATCCGCTGTGTGGCTGGGCCTGCGGAAGGGCATCTCGGAGGCTCCCGTGGTTTAGCGTTCTGGGTGAAGCGGCTGTAAACCTCGGCGCGGGGTTTGTGTGGCCGTGAGCTCTCCATTCATTTGGGTAATTACAAGGAAGAAGATGGCTGGACCCTTAGATGCCAGATTTAAAAGGGAAAATTCTCGGGGGCGCCAGCAGCTTCCGGTGCACTTACCAGCGGTGTGTTTGCCCAGAGACGACGACCACGAGGACGGGTTCTGCCAGCCGTACCGGGGCATCGCCTGCGCCCGCTTCATCGGGAACCGGACCATCTATGTGGACTCGCTGCAGATGCAGGGGGAGATCGAGAACCGGATCACAGGTAGGACAGCCTGTCCCTGCCAGCCCGGCGGCTCCATGGCTCCTGCCACAGAAAGGGGCCTTTTTAGAAGCAGTGGCCGCCGTGTTTGCCCTGAAATGCTCCTCCCGTGAGTGTGTCTGAGCTAGTGCGTGTGGGCAGCGGAGAGGGTTTCTAACACCCGCTGGGGGTGGGGCGGGGTGGGGGTGGGGGGCGGGGAGTCCTGCCGTCCCGGCCTCACTGCCTCGCTCTGTCATGAGCCCTCAGGCAGAAACCCACGCAGGTGCCATTGAAATGCCCTCCACACTTAGGCCAACTCTGGCCTTGCCTTTACCCTCAGCCTGTAGGGTCTAAGGTCATGGTCACAGAAGGGTCTGCCGGGCCGTCGTTCCAGAGCCCCCCGAGGACAGGGCCAGGGTGGGACCTGCAGCATCCTTGGTGGTGCCATCTTGGTCCAGTGGTGAGAATGGTTTGAAAACCTTACTGTCTCTCATTGGAGAAGTTTTTATGCCATTTAAAGCAGCACTTCTCAACCTTTTGACCACAACACACAGTAAAAGGTATACTTTGCATCTTGACTTAGCGTGCGCACACATGTATTTCAGAGTCGAAATGTGTTACAGGAGACAGCAGTCACCCTTATAAAAGCAGTGCACTTAGAGAATTTTCCTTTCAGTTTTATTTCATTAAAAGTTGGGCCCCTGCCGGTGTGGCTCAGTGGTGGAGCATCGACCCAGGCACCCAGAGGTCACCCCTTCGATTCCCAGTCAGGGCACATGCCCAGCTTGCAGGCTCGATCCCCAATAGGGAGCATACAGGAGGCAACCAATCAGTGTTTCTCTCTCATCAATGTTTCTCTCTCTCTCCCTCTCCCTTCTCTATCTAAAAGTCAATAAAACATTAAAAAAAGGAAAAAGTTGATCACACCCTTAATATGAACCCAGCACCCTGACACCCTCTGTTCTAATTCTGTTTGGAAATGCCAGCCCCGACTCCAGAGCTAATTTTACAGGCCACTGGTTGGCAAACACTGACTCAAGGCCCCTCGGTTATTTCTTCAGGAATCGTTTAACGAATTAAGCAGCACGGCCATCTAATCATAGTGACCTGCCATATAGCAGCTTTAGGTAAAGGTTTAGGACGGGGATTCTCCGGATGCGTGGGTTTACAAAAGGATAAATTGGAGGGCGCTCTAGCCTGCCTGCCCCAGCAGCACTCGGCGTGGTGCTCCGTCTGGAGAGCGTGCTCCACAGAACCGGTCCCGGGACTCGGGCTCCCCACGAGTGGGCTCCAAGGAACCTTCCGGGTGCGTGCAGGGAGCGGGTGAGAGTAGCCAGGACCGGAGTTGTTCAATGTCCCAGCACCTGGAACATCACTTTCAGAAATGAGCCCTCACTTGAGATGTCTGGGGGGCGGGGGGGGGGGGGGCGGGGGGAGGGAAGATCCTACAGGAGTCAGCCGGGACAGCCTATGGCCGCTCACCCCAAGAGAAATGCCAGGTTTGCTTTCTCGGGCAGCCGCCCTCAGGCAGCACCAGCTCCGCAGGATGGGGCTGAGCTGTGCACACCTGGCTCTTGGGCCAGTTTCTGTTCTGAACTGTCACATCGGCCAGAAGTGACCAGGAGGGCGGTGGGCGGCGTCACCGCACAGCGCACGGGGTCTGGCAGGAGCCAGTGCCCTGCATGGACACAGCTGTTGCCTCAACCTGTGGGCTGTTCTTCACTTGCTGTTTTACAGGCTCCGTGTGGGCTCTCATTCCCCGTGGGGTCTCCACAAAGCACTTGACACGAGCCCAGGAAGGGGCTGCATGACGGGCTTTCCTACAGTAAATACCTGGGCAGGGCCCAGCACTCTGGCCCAGAGCCTGCCCTGGTGCCTGGTCCCTCTCCTGGGGTAACAGGGGCCAGCAGCGCTGCTTGCTGGGCAAACGGGGCACTACAAGTGGGTGGAGCTGGGGCAGCCCAGGGACTAAATTCCCACAGCCCCGCGGGATGTGTAGGGAAGGGGGCCTCTCTTTTGCTGTCCAAGGTCAGGTCCTTATCAGCAGGTCCTTTGCAGGTCAAGGTGGGTGGACCTCTGGCTGGTGCCTGCCTTTGGGCCCCGAGTGTGGCAGCCTCCCCTCCAGCCCCCGTTCCTCCATGCCAGGCGTCAAGTTCTTCCCCTGGACTGCTTCGGCCCCATCACTCCATCCTGGCATGTCTTGCCCGTAAAAAGCAAACCTGCAGACCCCCTTCGAGGGCTGCTTCTCTGCTCCTCCTTCTCACAGACCTCGCCCTGTGCAAGCCCGCCCTCTGCCACGCCTCCCCTGGCTGCCAGCACCCCTGCCCTAGGCATCCCCTTCCTCTGCTGCTCCGGCGCCCGCTCCTGCGCTGCATTGCCCAGGGCTGCTGACCGGTATAGGGCTCGCTCCCCTCTGTCCCACGAAGGCCTCCCCCGGCTGCTGTGATCTTGCCTGCGGGCTGGATGCTGGGAGAGAGGCCTGGCCCTGACACCTCCTCCCCAGCCTCTCCTAGTAGAAGCTGCCCCCCCCCCCCCCCCAGGCCTCATGGGGCGGCTGGCACTCCACTCGCAGAGCCCAGGTTCTAGCAGGGCCCAAGGACGTGGCCCCTGGGTCCGCAGTGGGAGCTTCCTGTCACGAAGCAGCACCAGCTGGATGGGGTCCTGGGCCTAGTTTCCCTTCTTTTTTGTTCTACTTTTGCTGCTTGTAAGTGTAGCCTAGAACCTTCTGTCTGGTTCAAATCAGGGTGGCTCGGTGTTCCCCGGGCTCAGCCCCTGTGAGAGCCTTGGGGAGTGAAGATGGGGCGGGCGCCGGCGGGCAGGGTGGAGGGGCACCGGCGGGCAGGGCAGGGACACCCCCTGACGGTCTCCTGCTTCCGCAGCCGCCTTCACCATGATCGGCACCTCCACGCACCTGTCGGACCAGTGCTCCCAGTTTGCCATTCCGTCCTTCTGCCACTTTGTGTTCCCGTTGTGCGACGCGCGGTCCCGGGCGCCCAAGCCACGCGAGCTGTGCCGCGACGAGTGCGAGGTGCTGGAGAGCGACCTGTGCCGCCAGGAGTACACCATCGCGCGCTCCAACCCGCTCATCCTCATGCGGCTGCAGCTGCCCAAGTGCGAGGCGCTGCCCATGCCCGACAGCCCCGCCGCCGCCGACTGCATGCGCATCGGCATCCCAGCCGAGCGGCTGGGCCGCTGTGAGTCCCGGCCCGGGGCCCCTCCTTCCTGTAGGGCCTGCGGGAGGGCTCCAGAGCAGGGTACCGGTCAGCCCAGGCCACAGCGCGCTGGCCCTGCCTGTCCTGGGGACACCAGGAAGTCACCACCGCCCCGAGCCTCAGACGCCATTCCCTGCGGCGGAGCAGTCTGCCTGCCGGCCGGCCGGCCACAGGGCACCAGGGCACAGGCTGGTTCCTTCCTCAGGCCCGGGCTCCCCGAGTGGGCGGGGCTCCTGACACCGGAGCCTGCTCGCTGGCCTGCTGCGCTCCCCAATCCTGGCTGCAGGGCTTACTCGGTGCGACGTCGGACAAGTTGCTTAAACATCCTTCCACCTGTTACATGCGAATAGTAACACCTAACCCCAGGCCTGGCTGGGAGAGGGGGGTCTCCCCCACCCCAGGCGGAGCTGAGCCCGTGCTCCCTGGTGAAGGGTCTGAGGATGGCCAGCTGGCAGCCCCTCTCCTGCACAGTTTAGCTTTGCTTCCAGAGCCGGTGAACACGAGGCTGGCTGAGCTCATGCTGGGGGGGGGGGGGGGGGTTGCCGGGTGTGGGCCCCAAAGTTGATTCTAGGGTCATGGGATCACTTCTGGCAACGTTCCTTCCCCCTGGTGCACCTCAGCTGAATTAGTGAATTTGGGGCTTTGTTAAATTATTTTTAATATACAAGCCTCTGGTCCTGGGAGACCCCAGTTTGAGTGCCTGCAGGCAGACTGGCTCAGTCCTAAAGCCTGAGGTGCTCTCCCCGAGCGGGGCTGCTGCTCTCAATCGGCTCCTAACCTCTCTCCCCTCTCAGACCATCAGTGCTACAACGGCTCGGGCACGGACTACCGAGGGACGGCGAGCACCACTAAGTCAGGGCACCAGTGCCAGCCCTGGGCTCTGCAGCACCCCCACAGCCACCACCTGAGCAGTGCAGACTTCCCGGAGCTCGGCGGGGGGCACGCCTACTGCCGGAACCCCGGAGGGCAGATGGAAGGCCCCTGGTGCTTCACGAAGAATAAGAACGTGCCCATGGAGCTGTGCGACGTGCCCCCGTGCAGTAGGTTCTCTCTGTTGTGTGCACTTGGTTTGCCCTGGCCCAGGGGCTAGTGCTGTCACCGCCCCCTCCATGGCCACGATCGCTTGTTTTATGTAAAACTCTTGCTGGTTATAAAAGTAATAGCTGGTCATTATAGCACGTTTTACATCATAGAAAAGTCTGAAGAGTCATGTGCAAATCACCCCTAATTTCCTCACTGTTTGCATTTGGCTCCTGTCAGCCCTTTTCCTGTGCATGGTCCTGGGACATTCAGGTTGCATCTTGCTTCTCCATCAACATTATTACGTGGCATTTCCCAGTGTTAGCTGGGGCCCCGGAGGCAGCTCCTCGCCGGGGTCTGACCGGGCCCTGCCTGGCCTCCCCAGCTCCCACGCAGCTCGGCAGAATGAGGGGAAATTAGAACCTGTGTCTCTTGCCCATTGGCCCTGCAATTTCTCTGTTGGGTTATGAAAAGGAGAAGACCTTGGCGTTAACGGTTGCAAACTGCAAACATTATTATCCCGTTTCCCAACATTTACTCCCACCAGCTCCACTCGGTTGGACCCCTGAGATTGGGCTGCTCCTGAGTTTTCCATTTTGGAGCCTGGAGTAGAGGGTTGGAGGGAAATCACCAGGAGAAGACTGATCGAGAGGCAGTGGGTGAAGCACACCGAGGCTCACCAGCCGCCCAGGAGCCTCTGCCAGCAGCAGTGAGGCTGGCCTGCCCCCAGCCTGCAGCGATGGCGGGGCCTGCCCCCAGCCTGCAGCGATGGCGGGGCCTGCCCCCAGCCTGCAGCGAGCGGGGCCTGCCCCCAGCCTGCAGCGATGGCGGGGCCTGCCCCCAGCCTGCAGCGATGGCGGGGCCTGCCCCCAGCCTGCAGCGATGGCGGGGCCTGCCCCCAGCCTGCAGCGATGGCGGGGCCTGCCCCCAGCCTGCAGCGATGGCGGGGCCTGCCCCCAGCCTGCAGCGATGGCGGGGCCTGCCTCCAGCCTGCATACTGCGCTGCGGGTCCAGACCTGGCACGCCCACCGCTTGGCCGCTCAGCACGTCTTCAGCAGCATGCTCACTGCGGAGTAAACGTCAGGCGTGGAGATGTCAGTCAGATTACCGCACAGCTACGCAGTGAGGGCTACAGGGTCTGAGTGTCCTGCAAGGATGTGCCTGATTGGTTCAGGAGCAGGAGCAAGTTGCAGGCCATTAGCTGTGTTCTGTCCCTCCCCCCTCTTACCTCCTTTCTCTTCCCTTTCTGTTTTCAGAAAAACAAAAAGAAAGAAAGCTCTGTGTGTGTGTGTGTGCATGCATGCATGTGTGCGTGTGTGTGCATGCATGTATGTGTGCGTGTGCGTGCATGCATGTATGTGTGCGTGTGTGTGCATGCATGTATGTGTGCGTGTGTGTGCATGCATGCACATGCACATAAGCCCTATATTTCAGGGTGAAGTTTGGGGAAGATGCTCATCAAACTTTTAGCAGTGATTTCCCATGACTTACAGATACATTAAAATATAAAACGTTTTTATAATGAGTAGTTATTACTTTTGTAGTTACAACAGAATCAAAACATAAAGGAAAAAAATGCATGTTCTTTGACCCAGCAATCGCAGGGATCTTATATTGCAGAAATATTTGTAGCTAGAGGGCAGAAATGCCAGGATATTTGTTACAGAATTACTTGTAATGGCTGAATAAGCAGCAGACAAGTTGTTTGCCTGTAGGGGCTGGTGGTACACAGGCTAATGCATGGCCACCAGAGGGCGCCCGGAGCTGTCTGTCCTGAGAGCAGCGCCAGGTCCATTTTTCTGCCACAAAACCAGAAGCGGGATGCGGATGATGTGACTCTATGAACTCAAACTTCTATTTTATGAAACGGACGCTTCTATGTATAAAAATAATTGAATATTGTTATTCCATGTTCAACTTAAAGTCAGGGGGACAGCAACCTCTTGGCCGTGGCATAGCCTTTGGTGACGTGGGCTGTTAGGACTAGTACAGCTGTTAACATGCACGGGCTGGTTGTGATTTTATTTGTTTGTTTATTTTGTTAATCCCCTCCGAGGATATTCTCCCCATTGATCTTTAAGGAGAGTAGACGGGGGGAGGGATTGGTTTCCTCCTGCACACACCGACTGGGACCAGGGGTCAAGCCTGCCACTGAGGTACGTGCCCCTGACCAGGCTCAAACCCGAGATCCTTCAGCCTGTGGGCCGGCACTCTAACCACTGAGCCACATCGGCTGAGTGTAATTTTAAAAAGATAACGATAAGATAAATGTCATGCTCGCGTTTGGGCGGGCTCTCAACTCTGACGGTGGCCTGAGACTGTGGGTGCTCCCCGAGCCCTGGTGATGAAAACTGAGTTGCACTGCCCGGGGCTTCTAGGCCACCTGTCTCCGGAGGCCCGGAGCGGCCTGTGTGGCCTTATTTCATTTGGGAGCCAGGAGGCCAGGCTGGGTCTGGGACACGGCTGTGTGACTGTAGTGGCGGTAGAGGTGGGTTAGCTCCTCCAGAGACTGTGTTGGCCAGAAACCGCTTGTCACCTTTCAGGTGGAGAGCTCATTGTCCACTCGTCACAGGCACCACGCCCATGTGCGAACTCTAGGGCCGCTGCTCCTGGCCCTGCAGGGGGGCAGAGTGCTGCTCCCCTCCTGGCCCTGCAGGATGGCGCTTCCGGATTCTGTGCCCCTGCTGCCTGGGTCCCTGGTTGGTCGGTGCCACTTAAATGCTCTTCTAGTCATTGTCCTAAGAGAACATACTGATATTAAAAAATGTGGCCCATCCTAGTGTACGGGATGAAGAACAGGTCATTTCTAATCCCAGTCCTGAGCTTCCTTCACTAAGGACATGGGTTCGTGAACATGAACCTGGCCGCAGCTGTCTCCAGGGGGGTGCGCAGGAAAAGCGGGGGCGGGAGCTGGGAGCCACCTGCCGGTGCCCGCATTCCCATTGCTCCCAGGGGTGGCTCAGGGCCCATTCCGCAGTGTAGTGTGCATCGCCCTTGCTTTTCAGGCTGGGCTGTAATTTTGTCCTTCGTGCAGCTGACCCGATACCCTCATGTGCTTAAATGTTGCAGTTGGAGGTGGGAGGGGCTGTTAAAGGCGATGTTTTCTGAAGCTCACGGATGCCTTGCCGCCCACAGGCCCCCAGGACGGCAGCAGGATGGGCATCCTGTACATCCTGGTGCCCAGCATCGCCATCCCCCTGGTGGTCGCCTGCCTCTTCTTCCTGGTCTGCATGTGCCGCAACAAGCAGAAGGCGTCGGCCGCTGCGCCCCCGCGCCGGCAGCTGATGGCGTCGCCCAGCCAGGACGTGGAGCTGCCCCTCATGGGCCCGCACAAGCAGGTCTCCCCGCCCCTCTGCCTGCCGCCGGCTTTCTTGCCGTGCTCCACGCTCCACACTTACCTCTTCCACTGCCTTTCATTCTGTTGTTTCTTCTCTGAAACATGCCAGCACGTTGGTGGCCTCGGAGAATGCGTAGTGGGCGTTGGAACTCCCGTCCTGGCAGCGGGCTGCGCCCTTGGCCCGAGCCCACCGAGCTGCCCTCACACGAGAGCTTCCGCTGTGCCCACCGAGCACAGAAGGCTTGGCAGGGCCCCACCACCTGAGGTCAAAATGGCATTTTTAAGGGGCTGGGCCTGCTTCCCGCTCAGTTGGGCTGTGGTTGGTTTGCTTGGTTGCATGTGATTTTCAGCAAAGGATGGCGCCAACAGTCTTTTTTTTTTTTTAATATATTTTATTGATTTTTTACAAAGAGGAAGGGAGAGGGATAGAGAGTTAGAAACATCGATCAGCTGCCTCCTGCACACTCCCTACTGGGGATGTGCCCGCAACCAAGGTACATGCCCTTGACCGGAATCAAACCTGGGACCCTTGAGTCCGCAGGCTGACGCTCTATCCACTGAGCCAAATCGGTTAGGGCTGGAGCCAACAGTCTTGTAGAGGAAGTGGGGACAGTCCCCACCCCAGGGGGTCAGGATGGTGAGGACCAAAAGCAGTGCCAGTCTCTCCCTGGTGCTTGGCTGCTCTGCCTTGGGGGGCCACGGACTCTGAAGGGCAGGGGCTCCTTCAGCTCTGTTTCCAGGGGCCATGTAGTGTTCAGGGCAGGAGTGGGTGGCTGGACCGCAAGGGGGACATGGAGTCCCTTGGGGCCAGGGAAGCTCCCAGAAGGATGGGGGCCAGACACAGAAGGGCGAGAACCGTAGAAGCTGAGGTGCAGGTTTGCATGGATTTCACTCACGTGGTGCGTCCGTGGAAAATTACCTAATTGAGAGGCAGCACCAGGAGAGCAGCCGGGCGGGCTCTGAAAGTGCAGAGGTCACTGCCCATCGGGGGCTGGAGAGAGAGCCAGGTCTCCCCGGGTGACGGACGCCTGCGCTCGGCTTGGTTAGCGCGCAGCGAACAGGTGTGCATGCACCGCTGCCTGGTGCTCAGCGGCTCTCGGGGCATCATTTGCAGCCTGATGGGGATCCGTGGAAGGTTTCAGGCAGCTGGTGCCAGGAGGGCGTGCTTAAGAGCAGAGAGCAGTGTGGGGGCAGGGAGCCAGGAGCAGGCAGGCGAGTAGGTGCCCCCCAGCCCCCAGAACTCCCCTCTTCCCTCGGGTTGCAGTGGCAGGAACGTCTCACCGGCTTCTCTTCCTGCAGGCCAAGCTCAAGGAGATCAGCCTGTCCTCCGTGAGGTTCATGGAGGAGCTCGGGGAGGACCGCTTCGGGAAGGCGTACCGAGGTCGCCTGCTGGGCCCCGCGCCCGGGGAGCCCGCCCAGGCCGTGGCCATCAAAACGCTGAAGGACAAGGCGGAGGGGCCGCTGCGGGAGGAGTTCCGGCACGAGGCCTTGCTGCGTGCGCGCCTGCAGCACCCCAACCTCGTCTGCCTGCTGGGCGTGGTGACCCAGGGCCAGCCGCTCAGCATGGTCTTCAGCTACTGCCCGCAGGGCGACCTCCACGAGTTCCTGGTCATGCGCTCGCCGCACTCCGACGTGGGCAGCACGGACGACGACCGCACGGTGAAGTCGGCCCTGGAGCCGCCCGACTTCGTGCACGTGGTGGCGCAGATCGCGGCCGGCATGGAGTACCTGTCCAGCCACCACGTGGTGCACAAGGACCTGGCCACCCGCAACGTGCTCGTGGACGACAAGCTGAGCGTGAAGATCTCGGACCTGGGGCTGTTCCGCGAGGTGTACTCGGCCGACTACTCCCAGCTGCTGGGCAGCGCGCTGCTGCCGGTGCGCTGGATGTCGCCCGAGGCCATCCTGTACGGCAAGTTCTCCGTGGACTCGGACATCTGGGCCTACGGTGTGGTCCTGTGGGAGGTGTTCAGCTACGGCCTGCAGCCCTACTGCGGGCACTCCAACCAGGACGTGGTGGAGCTGGTGCGCGGCCGGCAGCTGCTGCCCTGCCCCGACGACTGCCCCGCCTGGGTGTACGCCCTGATGGTTGAGTGCTGGAGCGAGTTCCCCGGCCGGCGGCCGCGCTTCAAGGACATCCACAGCCGGCTCCGCGCCTGGGGCGGCCTGTCCGCCTACACCAGCTCCGCGCAGACCTCGGGCGCCAGCAACGCCACGCAGACCAGCTCGCTGAGCACCAGCCCCGTCAGCGTCAGCAACGCCCGCTACGGGGTCCCCAAGCCCAAGGCTCCGCCCTTCCCGCAGCCGCAGTTCATCCCCGTGAAGGGCCCCATCCGGCCCCTGGGACCCCCTCCGCAGCTCTACATCCCCGTCAATGGCTACCAGCCCGTGCCGGCCTACGGGGCCTACCTGCCCAACTTCTACCCCGTCCAGATCCCCCTGCAGATGGCCCCGCAGCAGGTGCCTGCCCAAATGGTGCCCAAGCCCGGCTCGCACCACAGCGGCAGCGGCTCCACCAGCACCGGGTATGTGACCACCGCGCCGTCCAACACGTCGGTGGCCGAGCGCGCGGCGCTGCTGGCAGAGGGCGCGGAGGACGCGCGGGACGGCCCTGAGGACGGCGCCCAGAGCCCCGTGCCCGAGGCTGCGGAGGAGGAGGACGGCTCCGTCCCGGAGACCGAGCTGCTGGGGGACAGTGACCCTCTGCAGGTGGAGGAGGCCGAGGCCCAGCTGGAAGCCTGAGGGTCAGGACTGCGGGGCTCGCTCGTGGGAAACTTCAGCCACTCGAGAAGTGAGCCCCCAGCGCCCCGCCCGGGCTGGTTGGCGCCCCGCCAGGTGAAGTCACTCCGCAGCGCGCTCCGCCCAGAGCTGCGCTGTGGCCATCCTTGGGCTTTGAGCCTGTGGCGCCGGGTGAACGGTGACGCCAGGTCGTCTGCATTTCCCCGAGGAGGGGTCGCGGGCATTGCCCGTGCTTTGAAGGGAATGGGTGGCGTCTGCCCGCCTTGTTGCATGTGGATCCAATGTTGCAAAACTTCGCGACAGGCCTGGCCAGGCAGCCGGCTGGTGGCGGATGGAGGAGCTGCTTTCTCGCCGCTGCCCGCCAGTTTTAGCCCCTTCAGCCCCCAGAGTAGCGGGAACAGGGCGCTGCCCGCCCCCTTCTCCCCCCCCCCCCCCCCCCCCCCCGCAGGCCTGGTAAGCAAGGCTTCTGGAACCGGAGTCCCATTTTAAAACACAACGTGCCTTAAAAAAACCAACGCGATGTTGTATTTTGTGAAGTGGTTTTAGTTGCCTTGTGTGTGTGTGGGCCCGGAGGAAGCCATGTTGTGAGAGCACAGTGCTGTTTGTGTCCTCGGAACCCTGTACAGACCTTCAGTGTAATTTATGTGGGTTTTGCAGGCTATTTTCATTGCAGTATTTTGACCCTAAAATGAGTTAGTAATATAACTGTTTACCTTACCCACCTGGGATGCCACCTGATTGTATTTGGCTGCTGTCTGTAGCGATGTGAGAGGTCCGTTCATTTCAGAGCTCCTGTGAGAAGGCCTGCAGGCACCGCGGACTGGCACAGCTGGTGGAGCCAGGCCTTCAGGCACCGCGGACTGGCACAGCTGGTGGAGCCAGGCCTGCAGGCACCGCGGACTGGCACAGCTGGGGTAGCCAGGCCTGCAGGCACCGCGGACTGGCACAGCTGGTGTAGCCAGGCCAGCAGGCACCGCGGACTGGCACAGCTGGTGTAGCCAGGCCAGCAGGCACCGCGGACTGGCACAGCTGGTGTAGCCAGGCCAGCAGACACCGCGGACTGGCACAGCGCCGCCTGTGACTCCACACCGGTGTAGCCAGTGAAGGACAGCCACGCTTCTGGCTCTGCAGGCTGTGAGGATGTCAGGCAGCTGGTAGTGCTGGGAGGGGGATGCCCACCGGTGGCTACGTGGGCTGAGCCCTTTGCAGCCTCGGGGGGCTAGCCTGCAACCTCGAACTCATGTGAATGTGGATGTATGTTGGTAAATAAATGATGGAAACAAGTTCTGTTGCTTTCTCTGTGAAGGTTTTGGGGGTGAATTACTTGGTGACCTGAAGTAGGTCTTTGGTTTTAAACTTATTCCCTCCTGAGGTCCCAGGACCCCTTTTTAGACCTGGAGCCTGGTTCTCACCAGGGCCCTGGGGCATGAGGCCATGGGGGACGGGCCTCCTTCACCACCGCCAGGGCGGTCAGCTGAGCCGAGTGCGCCTGGGCCAGGGTCACCTGGGGTCAGTGGCTCCAGGGCTTCCAGTCAGGGCTGGTGGCAGCCACCCCGGGGAGGCCTGGGGAAGCTGCTGCCAGCAGGCAAAGGCCCCTGCTGCTCAGGGCCTGCCGCCCCGCTCGGCCTGCCGCCCCGCTCGGCCTGCCGCCCCGCTCTGTTGCTGGAGTGGATCCCACGGAGGGCCCGGCGGGCTTGGAGAGGGATTTGCTTCCTGCTGGTGCAGTGGGTCTGGAGCCAGCAGCAGTACCTTCCCTGCGCCCAGGCCACGGGGTGGGGCTAGGAAAGTGCCTTCTGAACAGATGCCCAGAGGGTGCTGATGCTGTGGTCAGGCCCGCTGACTGCACGGAGCACAGCATTGCCTGTCCCCACGGCCCAGCATCTGGGGCGTGTCCTGCACCCCCACCCACGGCTTCGGTGAGCAGCGTGCTGCTGGGGATACAGCCCACACAGGTGATGCAACAGGGTCCTCCAGCCAGGCCTGGCCTTTCCCTGCTGGGCGGGCCCCGGCCCCTCCTGGCAGGTGCGGCCCAGCTGTCGGGAGGCGCGGGGTTGGATGCAGCCGCTTCTCATTCCCACTCACCTGGGAGAGGAGCTGACCTCTGATGCGGTCCACCTGGTGGTTTAACGGTGCGGTTGGGACCTGAGATTAAAAATGGGAGACAGCCCTTCAGCACTCGCCATTACCACGTCAGGGCAGCCGGCCCCAGGTGGGCACCCCTCTCCCTCTGCTGCAGCCTCCCCCACCTCCCCTACTCCTCACCCCCAGTGCAGGCCCCAGCAGAGCTGTCGGAGACTACAGGGATGCGTGGGGAGGGCTGCTGGCGGAGCAGGGCGGGTTTTAAGGTGGGGATATTTGTCTGGGCTCAATACAGCATTTGTTCGTTAGCACTCATTCTAAATGTGAAACCCAGATGCGGGGGGGAGGTGGGGGTGGGAGCCGCTGAGCAAAGTAACTGCTGGGAGGCTGCGGAGCAACCAGCTTAGAGCTGATGTGGGCACTCGGACTAACCCCTCGGGGCACCCAGAGCCCACCTACCCTGGTCAGCCCTCAAGAGGGCCGTTGGCACAGCACCTGGCCCTCGTTCCAGGCCATGAGGCGGCCGAGGCCCTGACGCCTGCCTCCCCTCCGGTGGACAGCACTGCGGAGACGTCGGAGCCACGTCCGGCTCCTCGGACTGAGGTGAGGGGTTTGACTGAACACTCGTGTCCGACAGCTTCCCACCGAGTGAGGGAAGCCTCGTGGTCTCGATCGGGAGCCACTTGGGACGCACTTTAAACCTGCAGGTTCGCGCCAGCGGCCCCGGACAGCGCGATTGCACAGCGAGGCTGAAACAAACCCAACAGTGTTGGCGGATGTGCGGAAACATTTAATACCTTTTCTGAGATGGAACTTTCAGAAGGTTGTGCCGAAGTAAATGCACTTCAGTGTGGCCTTCCTGGGCCAGGCCTGCTGCCCTCAGCCCCTGCGCTCTCGTGTCCCAGCCACGGGGCGGGGGGGGGGGGGGGGGTCCCGTCGGGGTCGGGCTGGGTTTAGGTAGAGAAGGCCTGGGCTTCGGCTGCTAGACCTGCCCCGAGGACGGGAGCCTCCTCGGCAGTGCTCACGGTCACCGAGCCGTCGCCTCTGCGTGGGTACTGCGCAGCGAGCACCCGTAGTCCTGAGGTTTGGCGGGAAGACCCTCTGCCCCTCTGCTCCCCGCCCCGTACCCGCCCCCCAAGTACACCTGCTTTGGCTTCGATGGATCTTCCTGGTTTACTGGCGCGTTGACTCCACTCCACCTACGTGCTGACCTGCACAAATGGTTCCTGCCTCGCTCGCTCAGGGAGCCGCGGGCCATGGGCCGTGGGCCCTGCGGGTGTGAGGGCCGAGCTGGAGGGCAGGGGGCAGCTGGGAGCCCTCGCCACGCCCTGTGTGCACCGCGGGTGCGTGACGGGCAGCGTCCCCGACCTCATTAGTATTATTTGTGCACAATTTGTCCTGCTCGTTGTCTTTCCAGGCTGCAGTGTTAAGGGTTTAATGAGAAAGTCACCCAGAAAGAGATTTAAAACCATCCCTGGAGGCTGCAGGAGCCACGGGGAGGCTGCAGACTGGCGTGAAGTCCGTCTGAGAGAGGGTCTTGGGGTGCAAGTGCCCCCCCCCCTGTTCCGGCCCCGTCCGGCCCTCCCACACCGAGCCACACCTCATTCCCAGTCTCCCCTGGTGACACCCACCCCCCCCACAATGAGGAGTTAGTTCTGGGCCCCAGGAAAGCCCTTCCTTCTCTCCAGGGGGCCACCCCGGGGCTCCCCTCGTCTCCCTGGGTCTGAGGAGCAGGAGCCGCGCCTGGAGTCCGTCTGGGTCTCCCTCCGAGCAGAGCGGGCGCGCCAGGCCTCCGGGGGTGCTGGGAGCGCTGCGGGCTGTGCGCAGTCGCGGGCCTTCCACCACTGACCTCCCCAGCAGCGCGAGTGGCTGGGGGCCCTCCCCGGACTCCCCGGACTCCCCACGTTCGTGTTGATTTAACTGGACGTCCACGTCTAAGGGTGTCAGCGGGAAACACCACTTAGATGGAGTGGTTGAGGTTGCGGCCAAGTTCTATGAATGTTTAACTTGTTCATACGGCCTTTCAACAGAGTCTTAGCCGCACTGCGGGCCGGATTCCTGGGGAGCAGAGGGGAGCACCGTCCCACTTCCTCAGAGGACGGGACTAAGCAGGAAACACGGTGACGAGGGCACAGCGCTGGCTGAGTTAGGACCCCGAGGGCGGAGCCCGCCTGCGGCCACGGACAGGGTCCCCGGGGACATTAGGTCAGCATCCTGCGTGCCACGCCGGCTTCGCGGCCTGAGCGCGGTCATGGTCTGCAGGATTTCAGACGTAAGCCTCGGCTACCGGCTCTGACTCTGAAGCGCTGAGACCTCAGGGTGACCTCCCCAAGCCAGGGGCACCTCCGCATCAGCCTCGGTCTGATTCAAAAGCAGAAAGCAGGTGTGTATAGGACAGAGGGGCCTGTCGGGCGGGCATTCCGGCAGAGACTACCCCTTAGCGACTCTGTCCCCACACAGCCAGAGGCCCTCCCCTCCCTGCACAGAGGGGCAACAGAAAGATGGATCGGAACACAAGGCCAGCCGAGCGCAGCTATGGGTGTGGGTGCAGCGGACGGGCGCAGGGCGGAGCGGAACCCACCCTCCCCGTCCTCCCACCCTCCCCGTCTTCCCCACCCTCCTCAAGGCAGGGCAGGAGCAGGAGCAGGCGGCCCCCCACGTGGGCTGTCTCGGCCCCATTTCCAGAACCCAGCCCATAGGGACAGCAAAGTCGCCTGATAAGACCCCAAAGCAGACACGTCCCAGGCTCTCTCCTCTGACCTAATCTCATGGGACTAAGGGCGGCATCATCTCCTGACAGCAGAGGCGAGTGACCAGTGTCCCCTGATTTCTCACCAGTGAGGACATCAGACTCACTACGGCCAGGACGCCACTGCCCGGGGACTCGCACTGCTCCGGGTCCATCGGGACCTGCAGAGCCTTTCGCAGGAGCAGAGGGGTCTGTGGCCGAGGGTGACTGGGGAGCCCGCAACGCAGGTCTGAGCCTGGACATCTCCGCGCCACACACCAGAGCCAGGATTGCTCTCAGGAGCCGACCCACGGCTCCCTCTCCTCGCCAAAGTCCCAAATGTGCCGTTTTCCTCTTTGTTTGGCAACAGAAATTAATAGACATATTTGGCGTGCTGGCTGTTTTGTTAAGCTCACCTGTATAAACTGCTCGCAGCACACCCATCAGGCCTGTAATTTCCTCTCGTGGAGACACTAAGCTACACTTAGGTTAAACCAGGTGTTTCTCTAAGATTTTTTCCTTTCCCTCCCCCAGGTGAGGGCTGGCCTGGCTCAGGCTCAGACCTGTGCCACCTTTCCCAGGAGCTGAGCTTCTCACCGAGAAACCTCACTCCCCTCAGAACCGTGGGGGG